CCCCCGCCCCCCCCCTTCGCCTGGCAGAGACCGCGCCGCAGCCTCGAGCTGGTGCGCGCCCGCCACGTCCCCGCCTGCTTGTGCGAGCCACGCCGCTACCATGGCGTCGCGCATCGCGGCCACCACCCACGGGGCCCACAAATGCGTGGCTGTGGGCGTGGTCACTGGCGGTCAAGGGGACACAGTTGTTGATGTTCCCGCCGATCACGTCCTTCAGCATCAGTCTGTTGGATTGTGGGGTTGAGGCCATGATAGCTGATGGACACCTCTTCGCCCGCTGCAACGTCCTGCAGCTCTGACGTATTGCCACGAAGTGGACGCGCAGATGTGGAGGGAGTCTCAGGACGGTCAGCCGGGGGGGGGGGGGCGTGCTGCAACAGGGCAGCAAGGCATGGCCTTGGACTGGGCACTGTCGCAGTGTCCCGTCAGCTGCCCTCTCAGATCCCAGTGTTGAGGTGTTGTGCATGAAATCGGAGGTGTTCGTTTGTAGTAAACAATGATATAGGCCTGCTATATTTCGCCTCAGATCGTACGAGCATCTCAGATTCAAGCCCGCAAGCGCGACTCGGGATCGCGGTCGTCTGGGACGTTCCACGACCTTTCTTACAGATAACACAGCAGCGATGCAGTGCCACAAATTCGCGCGGCAGCAGCAGCTGCGTGGTGGTGCTGCTGCTCCATCCAGGACGCCCGTTGCCCGTATCGCCCGGCAATGCCGCGCAGCGCCAGTGGTGGACAGCACCAAGAATGGCAGCAGTAGCAATGGCACACACACCGGGAGCTGCCCCACGCCTGCGGAGACCGCCCGCACGATAATCGACATCGTCAACGAGGGCTCCCTGTGCTCCGTATCTGCGGACGGGTCGCCCCTTGGCGCCCCTGTGGCGTACCAGCTTGACAAAGACGGTCAGCCCGTCATCCAGGTCGCAGCAGCATCGCTTGAGGCGGCCAACCTGCAGCGCGACGCGCGAGCGAGTCTGCTGGTTCAGCCAACGGCCTTTCCAGCGCGCGGCGTGGCATCGGTGGCGCTGCAGGGGAAGGTGCAGCCTCACGAATCAGGGGAGGGCAGCAGCAGCGAGACGGCCGCATTCAAGCTGCAGATCGACCAGTGTGTGTATTACGGCGGTCTTGACAACGTGAGAAGGGGGCCGACAGCTGTGCTGGGGCAATGCAACAGGCTCGGTGCTGTTACTGTGCAGGCGCAGGCGCACAGCCCCTGGCGACCCTGTCTGCATGACTGTCCAATTGTTGGGGTTGTGGCCCCGAGAAACCCGAATCAATGGCGTAATGATTTCCGGGGTGATCCTGCTGACATGCAATGTCAAAGGGCATGCACAACTGCAGGCGACCCTGTGCATCCCACAAACACATTCCCTGTGCCTGACGGGTGTTATGCAGAGCGGCGTTGGGCAGGCGTTTAGCGGCGACGAATATCGGGCAGCGGAGCCGGACGCGCTGCGCAAGTTTGCTGTGGAGCTGATCTCTGTGTGGAACTCCGACCGCGCCGAGGACATCTACCGCATTGTGTCGGCGCACATGGGGGTGCCGCTGGTTGAGGTGTGCACATCTGGGGGGCGGAAAGCGGCGCGCTAGATGAGCGATTGGCATTTGGCGTAGCGGCAGGCATGTGGGCACGCGGTCATGCAGGCAGACAGGGAGCATGTGCGAATGCAAGGTTGCTGTGCACATCACCGCGAATGTAAGGTCGCTGTGCACCAAAAACTGCAACTGCATGCCAGTTGCTGACAGCACAATTTGAACAGCTTGTTTTCGATTGGCTTTGAAAATTTAAATACCGCAAGTGTCCCCACCCCCCTTTCTGCTCACACATGCAAAAACACATGCATACATTCACGACTCGCAGATGGCGTATGCGGAACTGCTGTGGCTGGATCGGCTGGGCATGTACATTCGCAGTGAGGTGGCTGGCCGCACGCCCGAGGTGGTCCGCGTGCCCTTCTACCGACCGGTGCTTGACGAGCGTGACGCGCGCAGCGTCATCACCATGGCAGCGCAGCTAGCCTGGGAGAGTGAGCGCACCTATGTGCCACCGCTGCCCGCCATCTTCCAGGATGCGGCCAGCAATTAATGCGAGATCCTTTTCCCTGCGTTTGATGTGAGCAAATGTTGTAAGCGTTGTGGTGGCGCTCAGCCCCTCCGTTCTCAAACACAAGGTGGCTTGTTTCTCGTTTCAGTTTTCTGACGTTTGTGGAAATCTTCTTTATCCAGGCTGGCTAAGAACAGAGATTAGCGCCTGAGTAATATGCCACAATCTGCCTTGGGCAGTGCTGGCGGTGCAATTGTGCGGTGAAGTCAGAAGAGTTGTGCTGTCTCAAACTCTTTAGGCAATCGATAATCCAGCAGTTTCAGCACGTGCATTGTGCTGATGAGGTTCAGGCTGTCTGATGACTCAAAGGGACCCCAGCACGAGCAGTGGACGCCCAACGGACAGTGCAGCGTTGCCCCCGTCCGCCCTGTTCAAAGCTGTCAACCCGCTGAAGCACCTTCCTCTCCAACAAGCAGCAAAACACGCGGTTAAACTGAGCACGTGCAACCATGCGCGTGGTCTCCGCTGTCCTGCTCGTGAGTGCGGTGGCTTGGGTTGCTTGTGGTGGCGGTCGCTGGCGTCCTTGGGCACCAACAAGTGCTCCACGCAGTAGATTTCGAGCTTAAACGCAGCACTGGGGCCTTGGACGGCGCTGCTTGGGGCAAGGTGCAAGCATCAATTGTGCTGCCGTCCTTCTCGCAGGCGGTTCTAGGGGGCAAGGCGAACCCGACCGAGGATGATGTGAAGAAGATTCTTGGTTCTGGTACGTGCCGCTGGGATGATGGTGCAGCCGTGCAGAGCGGAGCCGCCTCACCTTGATCTTATGTTCTGTTGTGCGCAATCAATAAGCATCCAGTAGCATATATATGACTTGCGCACAGCGCTGCCAGGCGCAGCTCTTGGTTGGGATGCCTGCGTCTGCACTAGCTGTTGCCCACAAGTGGCACGATGTGCGCTGCGCATGCGTGCAGTGGGTGTCGAGGCTGATGCCGACAGCGTGCAGAGGCTGCTGAAGGAGCTGGAGGGCAAGGACATTGCCGAGCTGATTGCCGCCGGCCGCGAGAAGCTGCAGTCGGTGCCGTCTGGGGGTGCCGCGGCCGCGGCGCCCGCCGCGGGCGGCGCTGCCCCAGCTGCCAAGAAGGAGGAGGCGAAGAAGGAGGAACCCTCTGAGGAGGACGAGGTGCGCAGTTCTTTGTGGGGTGCGCGAGAGCGAGGTGGGGGTTGAGATGGTCACGCAGGCTGAGTGGGGTTTGTAGAGGTGACACCTTGCAGGTTGACATGAGGCAGCCGTGCCCATTGCACCGTCGGCCGCGAGTGCAGGCGGGCATACGGTGCGGGCTGGTGCGGCAGTACCATGTGCAGCGGCATCTGCTTTCTGGCCCTGGGTGCCAGCTCTTCATCAACCTGGTTCATTCTTGTCCTCGCAGGACATGGGCTTCTCCCTCTTCGACTGAGCTTCCCCGGTGGCGGTACTCCGCGTTGCTTGCACTCACTGCGTCTGCGGCGGCTAGCCTGGTAACAGTTGTAAGCAACTATCATGGCAGGTCTGTTGGTCTTCAGCTGTGTTGGGCAGCAGGGCACGGGCAGGGCCGCATGCAAGGCATGCGCTGCGACGTTGTGCGTCGTGGCGTTGGGTGATGTGACGCACGTCATATCACAGTTCCCAAACTGGTCCTGTTCCAGCCACGTGTCAGCAGTATTGCTCTTAGGAGTGGGTTTCAGCAAGCATGCAGGCTAGTGCAGTTGAAAGTTTCTTGATTGATTACACCAGCAGCACTCGCATGCAAGAGCACAGCTGGAAAGCCAATCAAACAATATGCGATGGCTTCGCAGTGCAGGGCGGTGAGCCATGAAAGAAATTTGCAGAGTGTCAGGCGGGCACGACCACTCCTAGCGTCATGATCAGCCATGTATACGGCAGGGAAGGTGGCCCAATAAACCCTCAGCCGGCGGAATGACGCAGCACCCTGATCAGTCCATCCAGTCCCCGAAGGCATCATCAACCTGGTCCGCCCAGCTCTTGCGCAGCTGTTCACCAGCAATGGCCAAGGGCGAGCTGGGAGTGAAGCCGCCCTTGTTGTCCTCGGCTGCGCTGGTGTGCTGGGGGTCGTCCAAGCTTGCGGGGATCCCAGACCCTGACTCCTTGGGGGCCTGCATCGGGAGGGCACCATTCAAAGCGATTCGTCAGCGAACGTGTGACAATCGGTTGTAAATATCAAGTAGCATGGTCCTCGGGGGCCCAGCAACATTGCTAACGGGCATCAGAGGGAGGTAGGCACACTGTTGAAGGCCTCTAGGACCCTTGTCACCCTCACACCTGGTATTCGTGGCTTGGGCGGCTGCGCTTCAACGCTGTGTCGTGCGATGCCATGCCAGCACTGTAGCGAGCCATCTGCTCAACCTGCGAGGCGAGGGCACATCATGCGTCGGACATCTCCACAGGACCTTGCGCCCTAACCTGCATGTGCAAACTCTCAAATCCCCCGCCCCACCACCACGACTGTTGCCTCTCCTTACCTTGTGGCCGGGAGTGCCACTGCTCTGCTGCCGCTTGGAAGGTGTCAGCCGCTGAGTGCTCCGCGGGGCCTCTGCCTGCGCCGGGCGGTGTGTGCGGTCCTCATTCCCGAACCCGCCCGCGCGCCTGGCGCCCCCACCGTCGCTGCTGCTGCTCGTGTCGCCACTCCTGCTGCCGCTGCCACCGCCGCTGATGTCTCTTCGCCTGTGAGCTCTGGCGTGGCGTCCGCTTTCAATGCGCGGCTCGTAAATGGCAGAAGGCCGCTCCTGCACGCCGCTCCGGCTGTGTCTGCCACCGTGCTGACGGGCTGCTGCATCATGTGCGCTGCTGTGTGGTTGGCGGGGCGGGCGCTGGTGTTCCTGCTGCCAGGGCTCAGACCGCGGTGTGCACCGCCGCTCCTGCTGCTGCTGCTGCTGCTGCTGCTGCTGCTGCTGCTGCTGCTGCTGCTGCTGCTGCTGCTGCTGCTGGTGCTGCTGCTGCTGCTGGTGCAGCTGCTGCTGCTGCTGCGGCGGCGGCGGCGGCTGCTGGTACGTATAGCGCTGCTGCATCTCACGCTGCTTCCCATGCGGCTCGGGCAAGTCATGCCGTCGCCGCTTCTGCCGACCCTCCTCGTCTTTCCGTCCCCAATCATGCTGCTGCTGCTGTTGCTGCTGCTGCCGTTGCTGCCGCTGTTGCTGCTGCTGCTGCTGCTGCTGCTGCTGCTGCTGCTGCTGCTGCTGCTGCTGCTGCTGCTGGCGGTGTGTTTCCGCATGGGGTTGCCGCTGTGGTGGCTCCGGCGCGAGCGGCTGTGGGTGGTCATCCTCACCCTCACCGCCGGCACCCTCCTCATCATACTCGTGCAGGCTGCGCCTCCATTTGCGCACCTAGATTAAGCATACGGAGAAACGGTAGAAAAGTACAGCAGGTTGAGCGTCGCGCAGCCGTGCTATTGCCTTGCATAATTTGCAGGCTGGCGCCTTCTTTGGCAAGCATTTGTGGGCCCCTATGTGCGTGATGCAGGCAAGTAGGGTCGCCGGTCAGAGCCCATGAGGCATGCCTGACGTGCACAATGCCCGAGGCGGGGGCTCCATCTGCCTGATCCAGGCTGACGCACACGCGACACAGGCTCATATGCTCGTCCCAAAGCGCCCGCGGCTTACGATGCCTGCCCAACACCGCTTGCTGGCCTTGAGCGTGATGTCCGGCGTTGAGGGGTGAGCGCCCTTTCCCCTGAGCTTGCGCGTGTGCCTGCGCAGCGTACGGTGCGTCGCGGCAGCAGCAGCAGTGGCAGCGATGTTGTTGACCTTTGCAATGCCGCCGCGCACACTCCGATGCGTGGCGGCTCCAACGAATCCGCAAGCTCCTTCCCATTGCAGCATTGAACCTCTTTTCCACCGCTTGAACCCACCTTGGAACAGCCTTGATGTAGTTCTGGTACGCCTGTGAGTTCTTCCCAAACGTGATCTGCTTCTGTCGCTGGGCCAGCCGCGCTGGGTCCGTCTCGATTCCGCCCTCTTCACCCATCTCAGCCTCTAGGGCAGCTTCCGCATCTAGGTCCTCCTCTGCCTCGAAGTCCAGGAGGAATTGCTCGGTGTGATCCATGCTTGCTGTTTGCGATCGCCGCGTCCTTAGCAGTGCAGAGTGCCAAGCGGTGGAACGTGTGCTTGAGCCAAACGTACACTGACAGCTCCGCGCCTGCGTTTGGACGGAAAACTTCAGCGCTCAATTTTGAATTGAGCCGCTCCCGCTCCCGGTTGCCGCGTCAACTTTGGCTGACGTCGGTAGATGCATTTGATGAAGATCACCTTATACGCTTTCGCGTGTGTAGAGGCAGACTGCGGCACGGCCCGATTGCGCACTGCATGCGAGCAGCCAAGCACATGCCCTCCCAGCTCAGGCAGCTCGCGGCGCTGCACGTTGATGTACCATGCACATATATCGCTGAATAAATATTATTATGCGTGGGTGTTTGTCTTGTGCCTGATCCATGCTGTGTATGAACATTTCTCCTCCTGCCCACCCACGGATAGCACAGGGCAGACAGGACCCCCATGGGAGTGCTGCGAGCAGGCTGCACAGTGCCCGCTGCGCTCACATGCTGCGGTACTCCACCCCTTACATACTATCTCTTCCCTTTTTTTGGTCGCATGTACTAAATGTGCATTTGTCCCTCCTTTCCCTTGGTGACGGCTGAGTTGTAAGCAGTGCCCAATGCCAGCCAAACCCAAAGCAGCGCTGCGCCAGGTGCATGGGCAGGGCACTGCCACTGCGCCGTTGTTTGTCACGCGGAGCGCGTCTTGTCTCAGGTGCAAATGCATGCTGCATCGCCTTACTGTGCCTTCATACGTGTGTCATGGGGAACCAACAATACGCTCGCAACTGTGCTGTGCAGCTGGTGTGCTGCAGATTTTGGTGGCATACAGTGCACTGTGGATTGCAACACTTGCGCATGCCTTCAGTTCCAAAGATCTTACCAACAGCAAAGCTGTTGCATACCAAGCTTTGCTGTTGGTATACAACTTGCTACGTATAGCCGCAGAACCAACTGTGCAGGCAGTGCCATATGGGCCAACGGCATGCAAAACCAAGGCAAAGAAACTGCAGCCCAACTATCGACATGCCGGTGCGATACAAAACGTGACGGCTTGAAAGGATGGAATCACTTTGAGGGCTATTACCAAACGGAAATTGTGCAATTCCATTGGATTGGGCACACAGGTGCTGGTGGTTTCAATGCTGGTGCGCACGAGGTGGTGTTGGGTGCACAAAATTGGCATGGTGCTAAAGCAACCTGCACAGAGGTGGCCCACATGCTGTCATGGGTCAAGACTCATAAGCTTGCCGACAACCAGCGACAAAGGGCCCTGCCGGACTGTCATAAAAAAAAATGACTGCACTAGAAACATCAAAAGCAGACCCCACAGGCGCAGTCACCCCACCTTGCTTGCTTTGTGCACTGTTCCGTCCTTAGTCAGTATGCTCCCAAGAAGCTGTTTCATCGCCATTGCTAGTGTTGGCTGGCTCGTTGCCATAGACAGCAGCCGAGAGGCCAGGCAGCGCCTCGTTGACGTCGTTGTGCGTCGCGTGCAGCCTCGAACCCACCCCGCGCAGCTCCCCCTCGACGTCCCTCAGCACCTCTGACAGCACATCCACAAGCTGCCGTTCCAGGGTGCCCCAAGCCGTTGCACCGGTCTCCGCAGTGGCGACGCCAACGCCGCCGCTGGTGCCATCACCGCCACGCAGCACGCCAAGGGTGGCGTGCGCCTCATGCAGCAGACCCGCCAGCCGGTCCACGTGGTGTCGCGCATCGCCCAGGTCGGCGGCAGCGGAGCGCAGCTGCTGCAGGGAGGCAGCACCAGCCGCGACCACAACAGGTGGCTCGGTGCGCACAGCTGTGGCTGGGTTGCTGGTGCTGCTGCTGCTGCTGCTGCTGCTGCTGTTGCTGCTGTTGCTGCTGTTGCTGCTGTTGCTGCTGTTGCTGCTGTTGCTGCTGTTGCTGCTGTTGCTGCTGTTGCTGCTGCTGCGGCGGCTGCGGCTGGGACTGCTGCTGCTGCTGCGGCGGCGGCGGGTGCTACTGCTGCGGCTGCTGCTGCTGGTGTTCGCGATGCTGGTGATGGTTTTGCTGCTGCTGTCTGGCGGGACCTGGTCTCCAGCCAGGTCCTCGACAGCTGCTAGTGGCTTCTGTTCCTGCAGCAGCACCAACATCTCCTGCCCCTGACACTGCATCTCATCAGTGGTGTGATGGTGTTGGTCTCCCAAAACAACAGGCGGTTGCGCGTCAATAGCTGCAAGTGCTTGCTCTCGCTCCTGCACGCTGTTATGGACAGGAGGCGCTTTGGGGCTTGCAGAACTGCTGTGGCTCTTGGAGGGGCGCCCGCCACGCCCCCTGGTCGCGCGCTGCTGCGTGCCATTGCACGGCGATGATCCAGCCTTGGGCGTTGCCACCACCTCTCTGTATTCATCCAGCCTGCATGCAATTGGGCATCAGCGCAATCCCTGTGAGCTGAGGGAGCCAACACACAGCGAGGTCGTGGTGGTGGGGCGCAGGTCTGAGATGTGATACCTCACCCCCGATGCACAGAAACTCAAGCGACAACAGGCGCCAACCATGCCTTTGATCCAACTCACAGCGCTGCACTGCCACTGCTGTCGGTCTCGAGCTGTGGGTGCGGCGCCTTCTTGCCACCCTTCTTTGACCCAGTGCCAAATCCACGAGGTGCACGGGTTGCCGCTGCTCGCAGGCTGCGCCCTCCGGCCGTCTGTCAAGACAAAACATATACTTTTATTCAGTCGGTCGCATGACAATCATGAAGAACCAATATGGGCTTGCATGTGTTGACAGGGCGGATCATGCATCTACAGCGCTCGACTTGCCTGTGCGGAAGCGCGGAGCATGTTTTGCGCAAAAATCACGCGTTATATTGTTGCCTGCGCGTAATCCTGCCAATGGTGGAGCTGTGATCGGGATTTTCTGCTACCGGTACTCTAGAGCGGCCTATCCTGATGGTTAAGAATGCTATTTGGACAACGTTCTATTTCTTGATATCACAGGGTGCTTGTCATTGTGAGCATAGCGAGGCGATGCTCAATTGAGCAATGTCTAGAGCACTTCCGTTGTGCTACCCGCTCACTAGTGACGTGCAAACGTTGAAAACGGCGCCAAGCAAGCATCACAAGCATCGCACATGCTGTGATGGCACATCACTGTTCTTTGTCTACTACTGCTGTCGCAGCATCACCCGCAGCGCTACCTGGCTTGCCCTGACGGGCCTCCTCATCTGGGCCTCCTCATCTGGGAGGCGCGACACGGTCACGTGCTCTCAAGAGCACCCTTGCCTCCCACCTGTTGCGCACCACTCCCGCCGGGCAGCTTCACACCCACTATGGAGGCAAACACAGGGCTGGATCGATACAGCGCCGACCCTCGCGCTCACCTGCCGCTCACGCGGGCCAACATCCGGGAGGAGCTGCCACAGCTGATGGGGCAGCTTGTGAGTCGCTGTGAGGGCTAGCTGCCAGACCCTGGTGCGGTATACTGTGACCAAGCTTGCGCTGAAAACGCACGAATTTCTATTATGGCAGCTTTAGAGAGGCATTTGGTTTGCCAGGCAGGTACAGGCATGCCTGACCTGGCGCAATATTAGGATCAAGCAGGTCGGGGGTGAAGGGGGCAGTGGTTGCTTTGTCGTGGTTTCAAGCATGTGGACGGCGGAGATGGCGTGCGCATGCGCACGCGCGTCTGCAGCAAATCATAGGCAAAGAAGCCAAAAAGGAATCGCATCGACATGTGGAGTCGTACATCCGTCCCACATTGCTGTCCCCCCCCCCCCTTGGCAAAATGCTATTTGGAGTTCTCGCTGCGCCTGGTCGACCTTGCGGCGTGGCGCACCACCTTGGGAAACTTCTACACCCCGGACGCTGTCTTTGACTATCCAGTGGCACTGCTGCGCGGACGAGAAGACATTCTGCGCTTCTGGACTGCCTTTCTACTGGCAAGGTGCTGGCGTCAAAGCTGGTTGGGGGGGAGTGCTTCACGCAACCTAGACTTGTGCATTGCAGGGACAACCTGCTTAGTTGAATGCGGAGTCATACATGGATCGACCAGCTTGCATCCCCTGTTTTGCATACCGATGCACAGGGCGCTGCAGCGTCTGGACACTTACAACATCTTCACTTCCCGTCTGGTGCGCAGCTCTGGTGACCTGCCAGCCTTCTACCTGCATTATCGGCAACATGCAGTTGCCCGCACGTGTGTGCTTGCTGCATGGTTACACCAGGGTCGTATGATATGGCTGTCCTGTCCAATCCCCAGCCCTGTCACAGCACGCTTAGTGTGACAGAATGGATCAGCACCCCGTTTCCTTGTTTTTACACCCCACACCATGCAACATTCTGGTGATGCCTCCTCAGGTGTTTGACCCGGAGTCGCTGCAGGCCCTGGTGGAACTGGAGGCACACCAGGTGTGCCGCAGCGCTTGACAACCAAGTACCACTCACCGCTTGCGTTGCTTGCACGGTTGGATGCATGGCAACGCGTGCACCGACTGCCCTGGCCTGACGTCGGCAACGACCGCTTCTCCCTGCACCAGGACTTTGCCTGGTTGAGGTGGGCCAGCGCGCTGGCCGGGGCGGTCGGCCTGATGCGCCGTGGGCAGCGGCTCAACATGTGGAAGGTTGGTGGCAGGAACCCTTGGGGGGAGCAGGGGGAGAGCTGTTGCACTCTGATGCACAACAAGCAGTACTTTCCACACATAAAACATCTCATACTTGACACATCTGTAAATATGGTGCTAGCCGGGGCTAGAAACAGTGATATCAATCTCGACTCCTCTGTATGTAATTCATATCCTTGCTACGTCAACCCCTGCCCCTTTGCTCTCAGGTGTGGTCCGTGCAGGTGCTGCACTTTGAAGAGAACCCTGTCACAGGGGAGCTGCGCATCAAGTGAGTCTGGCAAGAGCATCCTCATCAGATGGTCGCAACGCGTTCCACCAGCCCAAACAGCGCATTATTGCGTCCCACTAGCCCACATAGCGGCCAGTCCAAGCCCCTGACGTGCGTGCGGTGACAACACCTGCACGCCCGTCCCACCTTTGACTCTCCGCATCTATTATAATGCACTCAACAGGCACCAGATTGAGCTGGTTGACCAAATGATGCTCTTTGGTGTGCTGGTGGTGAGCGCTGTGCTGGTCCGTGCTCCCCCAGGCACACCACTGGCGACGGCGCTGCTGCTGATACGCACCGCTGTGGGGCACACCATCTCCTTTGGCATAGGGCTGCTCGGCGCGGCCCTGTCCTTAGTGGGCATTAGGCTGGGCTGACATTGCTTTCGGTGCCGTAGGCAGGTGGTGTCCTGCATGCAAGGCATATTATACACCAATAATCTTTCGACAATTCGACTGAGAAGTACATCAGGTATGGTGTAAGCAGAACACGCGCACACTCAAGCAGAACTTCCTTTCCACTCAAGATTGACGGGGCCTGTGCGCAGCGCTGCGCACAGGTCGTTACAAAACGCCCTCGCCAGCACTCAACAACAGCAGATCCAGAGTGCACTCTGCAAGACAAAGCGGCCAGCCCACTCCAAAAGATCCTGTGGGGCTGCCTCCAAAACGGTAAGCAGAACGCTGGGCGCAGCAGGTTCAGAGTGCCTTGCTGTAAATACAGGCCCAAGGAGGCAGCGTGTGCGCTATCAGAAACACGCAGTCAATCGCATACTCACATCAAACCGCCCAGGCAAGGGCCAAGATGCAAAATTTGTTTTGTCAAGTTGCGCTGTCACAGCACGCCCATCGCCCAAGATCTGCTCATCAGCGCGAGCCCCTTGGAAGGTCAGGCGGCCCGGCCACAATAGCCACGACGGCTGTGATATCGTCAGTCTTCCCGCCACGCGCCCCAAACAGCATCTGCAGGCCAGAAGTCTGCAGCAGGGAAGAGTGGTACCGCAAATGTTGGCGGGCAAGTAATTTGCAGGCCGTGCGTTGCAGGTACACAGGCGCGAGACAAAGCGGAGCTTGTGCGCTTCAGCTTCCTCGGCCACTCCACCCTCGGCCTCAGCCCAACAGCGCAGGGCTGCCGCCCGCCTCACCAGGCTCACAACCAACACCCAACGTGGTGACACATGCCCTTGTACGACTGCTCGGAAACCCCTTGAGCGCCCGTCCCCATCATCCGCCTGCCTCGCCCTGTGCCCCTGCCCACCTTGCCGTGCACCTGCAGCTCCTCAGCCCAAGGCCCCCGGTACCAGGGATCCGCAGCGTTGCGCGCAGCTGCGGCGGCCAAACGCCGCGCCAGCACCGCTGCCGCCCTGCCGGCCTCGCCCTCGCCGCGACCCAGCCGCGCGTCCACGCTGGCGGCCCCCTGCGCCTGCTCCACCACCTCCAGCAGCTCGTGCTCCCACATGTTGTCAAACAGGCCGTCAGTGCCCAGCACGATGATGTCACCAGGCATCACATCCACCCGCGCCACCGCGGCATCTTCGACTGTGTCCGTCTGGGGGACGATGCGCGGGTGCGACAGCTGATAGGGGCAGTTCCAGACGTGCTCCTGCACAGAGGTGGACCACTCCACGCGCCCAGCGCGCACCAGCCGCAGCCCACTGTCGCCCAAGTTGACGACCTCCAGGGTGCCGCAGCGCCGCAGCTGGGCCACGCACGCGGTGCTGCTGCCGGGGAGCTTGGTGGTCGCCTGAGGCGCCAATGCAGGCGGGGAGAGCGGGGTCACACGAGGTTGGGAATCCAGGTTTGTGCGTCTGCCTGAGGGCATGTGCCGCATGCCAGCTCGCGGTGCAACAGGGCGCACGCCCCCAGTTACGGTCAGAACGCCCCAACCAGGCAGTCTCAGCCACTGCCTTTATGCGCCAAGGGCCCAAGGGGCCACCCGCCGCGCACCCCTCCCTCCCCCACCATCACCTGTGCGTACTCGAGCGCGGCCAGCGCGCTGTGGCAGGGGTTGGGCCCGTCCAGGGCGTGGGCGCAGCGCTCCATGAGCTTCAGGGCGTAGGCCGCAGAGTCCACGCCCTCAGCCGCCCAGCCGCCAACGCCGTCCGCCACGCCCAGCGCCCCGCAGCCGGCGCTGCTGACAAACCACGCGTCCTCACCCCGTGATCCCACAGCAATCTGGGGCGCGTGACCGTCACGCGGGGGGATGCGGGGAGGGAGAGGAGGGGGGTGCACGACAGGCTGAATGCTGATGGCGGCTAGAATGGAATGTGCATTCAGCACGCCGGGAGACACTTGACAACGGCTGCTTCGCCGGCCAACCGGCAGGCATGGAGCAAAGGGGTTGGGCGGGCAGCTCGCACCAGAGTGGCGCCTGGGCGCAACCTGCTATGATTGCGCCGCTCCTCCCCCCGCTCCATGCGCGCACCTTCTTGGGGGACGGGATCATATGGCCCCCACAGGCCAGCGTCAAGGCTGGGCCCGGGGAGAGGGCGCGCAACGCAGGTGGAAGCGCTGCGCTCAAAGGCACCGTGGCGGAGCGCGCGCTCTGCGCCAGCGGCTCCAGGACGGCCTGCACCGTCGCCACTGCATTCACCGCGGCGCTCAGCCATGGCAGCGGGCCGTCGAAGCCGCCGCCGTTGCCTGCATCATTTGTTGATGCTGGCACGCCAAACAGGCCGCGGGCCCCCGCCTTCTGCGAGGAGGCCGCAGCAGCGCCGCCGCCTTGCGTCAGGGCGCCGCCGCCGCCGCCGCCTCCCCCACTCCCGCTGCTGCCCACACTACCGGTGCCATTGCTGCCGCTGCTGCCAATGCCACAATCATCCTCATCGCTTGCCTCAGGTTCTTTGGTGGAGCTCTCCGGCTCCGCAGCGGCTGTCGGCGTCGCCATGTCAGCAGGCGCCTGCCCCACAAACGCTATCGCCACCTCGCTGGATGGCCTCCGGGGCGGTACCAGGCCGTTGGACACGCGGCTACCGGGCTGCTGCTGCGTGGCGGGCTCTGCCACTCTGGCGTTGCGCTCGTCAGCGGCCTCCTGGTCGGCGCGCAGCTGGTCCGCGCGCTGGCGCGCCAAGGCCACCGCCTTCTCTCGCATCAGCTTCTCCATGGCTTCCCTCTGCGTTGCCAACTGCTGCCGCATGCTCTCCATCCTCGCGCGAGCCTTGGCCGCGTCGCGATCTGCTCCTGCCGCATGGTCCACGGCAGCCTCGCCAGACGCAGCAGGTGTAACAGTGCCACTGGTGGGCGACTCTGCCGCCGTTGCTGCTGTGCTGACGACTTGCGGTGCGGGTACCTCAAGAGCCTGGGGTGCACGGGTCGCAGTCGTGCCTGGCCCTTGGGCCCCTGCGAGTGGGGCCGCCGCCTGCTCACGCTGCTGCTCCTGGCCCCGCTGCTCTGCACGGTCCTTGGTGCCTTGCAACAGTGGCCGAGCCACTACAGTTGCATTGTCAGCAGGAATCACCTGCTGCTGCTGAGGCTGTTGCTGCTGCTGCTGTTGCTGCTGCTGCTGCACCTGCTGCCGCTGCTCCTGCTGCTTCTGCTGCTCCTGCTGCTGCTGCAGCTGCTTCTTCTCCTCCTGCTGCTGTTGCTTTTGCTGTAGAACCTGGTTTTCATTGTGCTGCTGATCTTGCTGATCTCGCTGTCGCTGCTGCTGCTGCTGCTGCTGCTGCTGCTGCTGCTGCTGCCGCTGCTGCTGCTGCTGCTGTTTGGCCTCCCGCTGCTGTTGTTGCTTCTGCAGCAGAATCTGCTTTGTATTGTGCTGCTGCTGCTCCTGCTGCTGCCGCCGCTCCTGCTGCTTTTGTTGCTGCTGCAGCTGCTCCCTCTCCTGCTGCTGTTGTTGCTTCTGCAGCAGAATTTGCTTTGCGTTGTGCTGCTGCTCCTGCTGCTCCCGCTGCTCCTGCTGCTTTTGTTGCTGTTGCAGCTGGTCCCTCTCCTGCTGCTGTTGTTGCTTCTGCAGCAGAATTTGCTTCGCGTTGTGCTGCTGCTCCTGCTGCTCCCGCTGCTCCTGCTGCTTTTGTTGCTGCTGCAGCTGGTCCCTCTCCTGCTGCTGTTGTTGCTTCTGCAGCAGAATTTGCTTCGCGTTGTGCTGCTGCTCCTGCTGCTCCCGCTGCTCCTGCTGCTTTTGTTGCTGCTGCAGCTGCTCCCTATCCTGCTGCTGTTGTTGCTTCTGCAGCAGAATTTGCTTCACATTGTGCTGCTGATCCTGCTGCTCCCGCTGCTCCTGCTGCTTTTGTTGCTGCTGCAGCTGCTCCCTCTCCTGCTGCTGCTGCTGCTGCTGCCGCAGCTGATGAGGCAGCAGCGACTGCTTATCCTTGTCCTGCTGACTTTGCTGCTTCAGTTGCTTCTCCTTGTGCTGCTGCTGCCGCTGTGGGAGGGCTGCCGATGCTGGCGCGCCCACCTTCTGGCTCCGGGGCAGAACCAACGGCGGTGGCGTTGGCGGCGTCGGCGGCCGCTGCGTCTGCGGCTGCACCCGCACCTGGCTACGCTGACGCTCCGCTGCCTCCTGAGCTCCGGCATGTCGCTGCTGCGTCTGCTGCTCCGCCCGCTGCTGTGCCTGCTGGCGTTCAAACGCGGCCAGCGCCAGCTGCAGGCCCGCCCTCATGTCAGCGGCCTCCTCAAGAGCGGCAGCGGCGCCCTTTCGCGCTGCCGCCAGCTGTTGCCTGATGTCTGCCAAAACCGGCCGAGTCCGCTCCACGCCATATGGGCGGGCGACCAGGGACGCCAGCTGCTTTTGGGCAGCGACTGCTGCCTTCTGCGCGATCACCGCCTGCTGTGCCGCTGCGGCCTGCACCCAGATAGTTCGAGCGAAACAATGTCTGATCAGGCCCGATTGGACAGCAGCACAAGCCTTGACAGGAGTGCCACTCCGCTGCGCTGACCAACCTGGGGCGTGGCTGGCCCACCCCAGCGCTCTCGGCTAGCGTCTCTTGCCCAGGACCCCCCCCCCCCCACCCACCTGCATGTTGCGCATGGAGCAGGCGAGCTGCCTGTTGCTGTCCACCAGAGCACACAACTGACGCTCCAGGTTGTGCGCGCGCGACTCAGCCGTGTGGACGTGCCACTGGGAATGGTCAAGGGGGACGGGGTGATAGGGAGGTGGTTGGGTGGCGGAGTAGCAAGTGTTGTGTAAACGCAGTGCATGCGGCAAATGCGAGCGCCATGCAGAGGCAAAATTGTAGGGGGGTACCAGGCACATTCAGGCAACGCCGCGCACCCGGCCCCCCCACCTGCGCGCTCTCCAACTGCCGCCTCAGCTCCTGGAAGCGCCGCGCCAGCTCGTGCCGCGCCGCCTCGCTCAAGTCCGCCACCCCTCCGCCGCCGCCCGCGCCTGGCGCCAGGCTCTCCCTCAGCGCCACGGCCAGGCCCTCCAGCCGCTCCACCTGCCGCTGGCTGTCGGCCAGGGCGGCGTTGGCGCCCTCAGACTGGCGCCGCGCCAGGCGCGTCACCTCGGCCAGCTGGGCCTCGCGCTGCGCCGCCACCTGCTGCACCGCGCACAGCTCCCCGTCCAGCGCGGCCGCGGCCTGCGGCAAGAGGTGCGGGGGCAGGCGCCAGCGGGGTGGCGAGGCGGGGTGGATCAGCGCGGAGAGAATAGCGGCGCGTGCCGCAGCCAGTTTCTCAGCTGACAGCGGCACCCACTGCTAGCGGGCTGCGCACGCGCAGCGGGGCCACCCCAGCAGCGGCCGATTGCGCGCCCTGCGCGCCGCCCCAGACGATGCAGGGTCAACAGTCCGTACCTGGAGGGTGCGCTGCACGTCAGCCTCAGCCTCCTGCAGAGCCGCCGCCAGGGCGCGGCGCTCGTCCAGCGCGCCTGCCTCCGCGCGCAAGCGGCCGAGGTCGGCGCCCCCGCGCCGGCCAGGAATGGCACGCGCCAGCGCCGCGATCAGGTGGCATGCGGCGTACACGGCCAACAGCGCGGACAGGGCGGCCGCAAGGATGGAGGTTGGGGCGCTGCTGTGCAGGGCCGCGGCCAGCTGTGGGGGTGGCTCCGGCACTGAGATGGTGAAGAGCGCCGGCAGCCGCAGGCCCCTCAGGGAATCCGGCAGGCTGAGTGTGACCTCGCGCCCGAGCACCTGCGGGGCAGCGTGCAGAGGCAGCGCATCTCGCACAATTGTGCTGTTGACAGCACGCTGTGCTGCGCTTGCAGACAGTGACAAGGGGCTGCGCCCCCGCACAGCACAGCAGGGTGCACTCGAGGCGGGCGCGTTGGGACGGACCGTGTTGTCGCCCACCTTCGCCCGCGCGCGCACGGCGCAGCGCCAACCCGCTCGGGCTTGAGGACTAGCAGACGTTTCTTCGCCTGTTGTGGCATCCCTGAATTGCTTGCGGGCGAGTCCCTTATAGGAAGGGAGAGTGATTCGCCTCGGGTCCGGATGCCGGACGAGGCGCCCCCGAGGAGCGAACGCCATTGCTTGCATGGAATCCAGGCATGCACACTGGCGACGGCGAGCACTGGTGTCGGATGGACGGAGGTTTGGGGTCCGGTGCGTCTATGAGTCTAGGCAGCTATGGTATCGTTCTAAATGCAGGTAGTGTAAGCTGGCTCCAGGGTCTTTATTTTGAACAGCGGGTGACACAGTGCGTTCTGCGGGCACCTTAGCGTCAACCGATTGACGCTGTCAACCGCTCGCGCTGCACCTCGTGGCGCCCACTCAGCACGCCCCCAGGGGTCTTGCATTTGAGAAATGCATCAATCTTCGTCCACCCTTGTCAGTGCGGTTTTAGTTGATTCCCTGGGGGACAAATGAAGGGGACGGCGTCACGCCAAGTGTTCTGGCTTCCGCAACCCCGGCGACTATGGTGTTAGCAGAACCATGGCTGCCAACTTGTGCTCAGAGCAGTTCAACCCGTTGCCTCCTCATAATGCTCCTGATGTCCACCCGTGAAACATTATCGTATGCATCTGCAGCCATGCTTGGTGCCCACGGTTGCGGTGCGGACGCCAGTACTGTAACAATTGTCTTGTGACGCAGACCAGGGTCAACAAAGTTCATGTGCGAGAAAGTACAAGAGGTTGTTGATAATGCAAGGCGCGATAGGCGCGCCTGAGCATCAGTCAGAATGGGCAAAAGTTGAACGGGGCCAAGAAAGGACCAGGGCCTGCATGCAATTGCTCGCTGCCACCTGACGTCAAAAGTGGTGGCAACCTGCCAGGGCCCTTGCGGCGCGCGTGCACGCGTGCTGCTATCAATAGGAAAACTCTTCACTTGGGGCAACGTGGGCCGTACAATGCTACCCTGTGGCGGTCTGTGACGGCGGCCTCCGCACGTGACTTGTCTACGCATCCGGCAATGCAATTCGTGGGGTACAGAGCTCAGCCCTTGGGAAGGGGGGCAGCAGCACGGTTGGCGCCGGTCCGATGCAGCCTTGGGCTGCTGCGGCCGGGCGGCGCGGTAAGTGTGCCGGCAACACGTGCTTTGAGCACGTTGCACTTCTGACTCAACAAGGGGGCGCTGACACATCAAGCCATTTGCAGTATGGTGTTCATGCCGCAGGCTCGTATGCCGCAAAAAGCGGCGCTGGTCGGGCAAAGGTCCAGTGCTGGTGCTGACGGCCACCTTTGCCTTTGACGATCCAGCCACTCAAGGGCAACATTGCCTAAGCGTGATCGGGCTTGTGCTCCTGGGTTCCCCTGGTGTCACCCGGAGGCGCTGGTCCGCCAGCACGGTCCAAGGCCGACGGCTGCTGCGGCGCATGCCCTGGGAGCTGCGCGCCCAGCGACATGAGGGCCGGCAGGCCTGATAGCTGTGCCCGTGCCCCGCCCAGGCTAGGCGGGGTGGCCATGAGCTCGCTGCTGAGTGAGGGCCCGCTCAGGCCAAGGCCCGTGCCCGCTGACCCGGCCATTCCGCCGATTGGCACCGTCAAGCAGGACGGCAGCCCGGGGAGCTGCGACGCAACAGCTGACTGGCCCGTGCCGCCGCCGCCGCCGCTGCTGCCTGCTCCACTGGCCGATCGCCCTAGCAACTGCAAGGAGCCTGCATTGTTGTGCAGCGGAGCGCGAGACGGGGGCAGCACTGCTGATGCCGGCGTGAGCGAGGGCACGCCGCGCTGGTCACCGCCAGGGCTCGCGCGCGGCAACGCCACAGCCGCACCACCGCCCGGCCCTGCCAGGGCGTTCAGCTGCTGCACCGCGTTGCGCAACTGCATGTTCTCCCGGTTGAGCCACCTGCACGGGCGGGGTGTAGAAAGCCGAGGGCACGGCGAGGTGGTGATGATGTGTGTGTGCGTGCGTGTGTCCGTGCACACGTGCGTGTGTGCATGCGTGTGTAGGGGTGTGGTTTTGTTTCCGGGAGGGGGGGCGACAAGCAGCGGTCTGTGTGGGGGATCATACCTGCGCGATGTCTAAGTTGGCATTACAGCAGCCTACACGTTCCAGGGACGGCTGCTGCAAATGCCACGATAGCCCTCATCGCGTCACGGCACTGCACCGCCCACAAAAACATCCCACCGCCACCCTCTGGGCTCACGCGTTCTCCGCAATGCTCTGCTGCCACTTGTCCGTGAGGTCCTGCACCTGCCGCAGCACCTCTGCGCGCGCCAGCGTCAGCGTCTCCACCTGCCTCAGCAGCGCCTCGTTCTCAGACGACAAGCGCTGGGCCTACAGCAATCAAGGCAAGCAGGGCGTAGGGGCGCGAGTGTTGCAAGCCTGTTTTCAAGCTGGGTTTCTGATGGCAGATCCCTGTGGCTTACGCTCTCACAAGGCAGCTGCTGTGTTGTCGCCGGGGCTTTTGAGGTCTTTGATCCCCTTGTGACGCCATCCTTTCGCAGTACATCAACTCTTGCCTGCTGCGACACGCCGCTGCATGCGCGCCCAGCGGTTGGGGCTTTTCGCCCACGGGCCAACTGCTCCACGGGTCCTCGGCTGTTGAAGCCTCATGACCAGCCCCAACCCGTGCATCCAGCTCGCACCTCCAGCCGCAGCTCGTCAAGCTCCTTGTTGCGCCGCTCCCTGATCCGCTTCTGGCTGTTCCGATTGATCTCCCGCCGCCGCCGCACGCGCTCATCGGCAGGATCAGCGCTGCCGCCCTCCCCAGCCCCTTCCACGCCACCACCGCCACCGCCGCCCGCGCTCCTGCCGCCTGTGTTGCCCCGGCCGCTCGGGCCTGCAGCCTCATCATCGCGGGAGTTGCCAGCTTCATGCCTCTTGGGCGAGCCACTGCCGCTCGTGCCGCTAACCTCGCCCGCCTGGTCCCGCTCAGCCCCGTCCATCACAGCGCGGCGCGCCAGAGTGGGCGGCCGCGTCTGTCAAGGGCCCTGAACAAGCGCGTCCTGGCTATGCCTTTTCAGCTGCAGCTATGGCAGCCCGTCGGCACAGCGGGGCATCAGCCCCGGGGACCACGCGGCACTCGAAACAACGGTCACTGGTGTCGCGGACGCGTTAGTTGCCGCCGATGGAAACGCAGTGTCGAGTGAGCGTGATGCGTTTATGAAACCAAAGCTCATCTACGTGACTCTGAATGAATGCACCCGGAGGCCTGTCAGCGACAAGGCCGCTCCCAACGGCCAGAGGCTGCCCGCTGCAGGGCCTCAAGCCGCACGCTGACGGTTCAATTATTCACGTAAGACAGATTCAGGACTTATGAAGTCCTTCTCAACGCCTGTCACAGCCTCGAAGCAACGGATGGCTGCGGGTGACAAACCGGTGTGGGTGACGGCCACGTAGAGTGTGGCGGGCGATCTCATTCATATGCGGTGCTTCACAGTCACCTGGGAACAGTGGCATGCTTGAAGACGAGCGGCCGCCTTCTGCATCCACATGCTTTGCTAGTGAGGCTGAGCATGCAGCAAGACCTGTGCCGCTGTATTGCATGAGCTGTGGTGCTGCATGCCCAGGTGTGACCCTGCACTGCTGTCAAAGCTCAGCCAATGTTTCATATTCAGCAGTGGTACCTGTCACAAGGGAGTGTACCAGACAGGAGTGGCCTGGGTGTGCCGAGTGACAACGCGCCAACCAGCAGCAAGCACGCACAAGATGGACGGCTGCAACACACGTCTCCGCTATCCTTTGCCTGCGTTCATGTGACGCTCTTTAAGCATATTCACTACAAGTGCACGACATCATTTTGCACTGCACCTTTCGGCAAACCGTGCCGCGTGTCATCATACCCATGTGCGTGTGCTGTTGAGGAAGACATGGGCTCACATGGATTTTCCAACTAACTAGGCACGAACGGGTGGCCCAGAGGGCCTTGGTGTCCGTGAGGGCCCTTTGCCAGTCAGGGCAGGGCAAGGCCAGCATACCACGCCCCAAGAAGGGATCGGGAAGCATGCCTGACACCAGCCAGTCCAAGGTAGGGGTGACCGTGCAGTGGCCTTTTTGCCATGTGCGATCTACAGGACTCAGCTGCAGGTGCACCCGCTCGGGAGCTTGCTGCGTCAATGGGGAGTCGCGCATGTATATATACTGGCGGCGCGGTTGTCGACCTTGCCACATCGCAGACCTGGCATCGCCGCGGCGTGGGCCCCCGTCAACGCGCATGTGCTGCTGCTCGCCTCTCTTGCTGCCGCAGCCGCGCACACGGGAGGAGCTGCAACAGGAGCTGGCGGACATGCTTGCCGCGCGGCCGTCACAGGCAAATGGCAGCATCAGCAGCGGCGGCGACCGCACGACGCCGCGCCCCGGCGCCGACCTGGCCAAGGCCGCCGACACCTCCCGCGAGAGTGCCAGCGACTTGATGCAGCTGCCGCTGGTCAAGCCGCCAGTGGCGCCACCAGGGAACTGTAGCATCAGCCAGGGCGCGCGCTCCTGGGTGGCCGACGTGGCGCGGCAGCAGGGGACCGGCGACGGCAAGGGCCGCCCCCGCCGGCTTCAGATCGATGTCAAGGTGCGGCGCGCCATTCGGGTGTCTACCCGGGGGGGGCAGCTTCACGCCCTGCCGGTACGGTACTCTGGCTGTCAGGCGAGCTGTTGGGCTGCCGGCGCCGCACGGCGCCCCAGCAGCTGTCGAGGACACGCGTGGTTGGCTGTGCATGAGGCGTGCCGGCGGTCGTCCACGCGTTGCGGCTGCATCGTCCCGCCATGCAGGGCATCACACACGTGCTGCGGCGCCACCCCAGCACCTGGATCTCGGCCCTGGCAGTTGCGGTGGTTCTGGCGGGTGCGGGCGTGGCGGGCGTCATGGCGGCGGCGATGGCGGAGACGCGGCACCGCTACGAGGCGGCGCAGGGCTTTGCCGACAACGCGGCGGTGGGGTTTGAGGTGCAGCTGCAGCAGATGATGGCCCCTATGCTGGCGCTCGCGGCTTTCATCCATGACAACCCGAATTATGTGCGTCCCGCTGGCGGTCGATGCAGCCTTTGGGGGCCTAAGACGCGGCTGCTGGCAACAGCAGGGGGTTGCTGTGAATGTCTTCCCGATCGCCCAAAGCTGTGCCGGTGCAGCCTGCCTGCATTTGCTGACATGGCCTGTTGGGGATGCTAGCTGCAGTGCTGCACAGGCACACGTGCCCACGTGCCCGGGCCATGCGTGCCACCCCGCAGCCCCACCTGGCGGCGCGGTTCGACAAGATCGCCAAGGAGCTCCTGGCTGCGGTGAGTCATATTCCAGGGCCAGCACCTCAGAACGCACTGCTGACAATGGAAGCGCGTGCCGGTGCATGCCTTGGGCGGCCATCTATGCATCGGGCGCACATGAAAGCGGCCTGCCTGCCCCAATCTTGCAGCTGCCCGACCCCGAGGCGGTGGCCAGCCTTCAGGCCACGCCCCAGGCCGTGGTGCGCAGCTTCTACCCCATCGCCGGGAACGAGGCCGCCATGGGCCACGACCTGCTCAGGGGTGCGCTGGGGCCGGGGTAGGGGCGCCAGTACCCTCGGGTGGGAAGGGGAAGGGGGCGCATGCCGCAGTCTGGGTGGATGGTATGCACTCGGAGGGTTCACGGTTCAAAGGCTGGGTGGCCTGCGCCGCTGCTTGAAATCGTGCCACTGCTCCTTTTGGCTGACGCAACTCTGCAGTTGTTGCGGCCTGTCATCACATTTTTTCTCTGATGCATGCACGGCTTCGTGTCGCCCTCGCTGCCCCCCCTCCCATAGACCCGGAGCGCCGCCAGGCTGCGCTTGAAACAATCCAGCGTGGCGCGCTGACTCTGCAGGGGCCCATGATGCTGAAGCAGGGCTTCATAGGTGTGGTGCCGCGGCTGCCCATATTCATCGAGAACGTGACCGACCCAAACGAACGCTTCGGGTGAGCAGGCATGCTTCGTTGCGCAGGATGGCACGGCTGGGTCGCAGTCGCTGACTGTGACTGCGGCGTCCGTGGTGACCCTGATACCACTGCCATTGCAAGTACAGCTGAAAGCTGCTAATGTTCCCCCTTCCCTCTTGCCATCATTCGCGCGCCCCTTGCAGCGCTCCTGATCAGTCCTACAACTGCAGCATATGCTACAACGAAGAGGCGAAGCGCTTGTTCTGGGGATTTGTGAGTGGCGGCAGGGGTGCAGGACGGGAAAACAGGCAATTTGCGCCAGAATGGGGTCCAAGTCGGCGTGTTGCCACCCCGCCTGCCGGCACCCTAGCAGCAGCACGGCTTGCGCCGACGGTACCCGCCCGTTGTGATCTCACCCGTTGCAGTGTTCCTGCATTGTGAATTTTGAATCTGTCATCAAGGGCACCGACTCGCGGCTGCGGAGCCTGGCGCAGCAGGTGAGGGGCATTCAGGCTGGGCCGGCCGCGACGCCGTCGGCCTGGGCAGGGACTGCAGGCAGTCCACGCGTGCAGGAGGTGCATAGCCATGCGGCACACAACCCATCCCCCCTGCCAAGCCCCGCTCCCACACCGACCTGCCACGCCCCCATGTCTCCACCCGCCCTTTCAGGGGTATGAGTATGCCATGTTTGCGCCTCAGCCCAATGGGACCATGTTCCGGTTCGCCACCAGCGCCCAGCCCCCGCCGCCGCCGCCGGCGTCAGTTGCGGCGACGATCCACGTGCCCAACAGCAACTGGACGCTGCTGGCGAGCCCCTCCCAGGGCTGGGTGCCCTCGTGGCGCGACCCCATGATCGCCACCGCCGCCATCGCCAGCGCGCTCATTGGCCTGCTGGTGGGGGCCGTGCTGGTCAGCAGGCGGCAGCAGGGCTGGCTGCTTGCAGAGATGAGGGTGAGCCCGC